ATGAATCTACAATTCAGGTAATCTCATCTTCTTTATTGTCATGATCATCTTCATCAATATTTATTTCTATATATATTGTTTTAGATTGCAAAAGAATTTGGATTTAAACAATATGAAGTTTCAAACTTTTATAAAAATTCAAAATATAGTAGACATAATTTTGGATATTGGAATGGTTTGGATTATCTTGGTAAAAAATTCATTATATATATATATATATATACACTTGATAATTAATTAGTCAATTGATTGACTAATTTATCTATCCATCTATTGGATCAGGAATTGGACCTGGAGCTCATGGTAGATTATATGATATGAAAAATAATAAAAGATTAAGAACTTTTAGAGTTTAGCGAAATATTTATAATTATTATTCATCATTTTAAAAAAATACTATTTTTAATATTAATAGTTTTTTTTTTTTTGAAAATCTCTTAATTTTAGATTTTATATCCTGAAGATTGGATGAGACAGTGTGAAGATTTAGGACATGGGTATAATTACTTTTTTAGTTTTATAAGTAATTTTAATATAATTTTTAATTGCTTTTATTTTCAATAAAAGAATGAGAAAATCAGTCGAGATGGATTTAAAAACTATCAAAGAAGTAGATATAAGAATTTTTTTTTTAAAAAAAAATACTAATTATATAAATTAAAAAGTTTTTTTTTTTTTTTTGATAAGGAATTGATTGTTTTTGGATTAAGAACTAAACTTGGTATACCCAAGAAAAGATTTAATCTACATTCAGATGGGGAACAATTGGAAGATGTAATATTAATGTTGATAATATTAATTCTACATGTCAATTTGATTATATTAATCTAATTATCTAATTCTAAAATTTTATCAATAATCAAATATTTAATTTTACCAGTTCATAAATGTGTTACAGGTTTCTCAATTGGTAAAAGATGGATTCCTTATTTTTGATGACTATAATGGTGTTAAAGACATGGCAATTAAACAAAACAATGATGATGATAATAATGACGATGATGATTATAGAGATTTGATCAATAATTCTTTGGAATTTTTTCAAGAATCTATTAATGGCAGTTTAAGACCTACAAAAAAATGGTTTAAGATTAATTGATGAAATTTTGCCTAGAATTCTTTATTAATTATTTATTTTAAAAAAAATTTGCCTTTATAAAAAAATTTAAAAAAAATAAAGAACATATTTATTAACTAAAATTTTTAAAAACCAGGGCTAGAAATAGGGCCTGAAAAAAAAGTGGAAAATTCTTCTGAATTCTAAAAAATTTCCGGAAAGAAAAAGGAAATTCTTTAGGTGCTAAAATTTTAAGGATTTTCTTTATTTTATTCTTCTGAAGAAATTTACTAAGAGCATCACTAAAAATCGAATCATAAATGTATAACTAACCATTTTTATCAAAAAGATTAATTATAGCATTATAAAGTGTTATAACATTTGATTCTTCCACTTGCAAATGCTTAAGATAGAGTACTTTAATGACTCTCTTATAGCAATACTTAACATATATGGGGCATGCTGCAACAAAACCAGACAAAGTGAACATTGGTGTTACCAAAAATTTCAGGGATCAGTTTAACATCACAATTGTATTACCAATGTAATATTTGTCTAAACAAAAATAGTTAATATGAAACTCGTTTATATGGGGCATGCTGCAACAAAACCAGACAAAGTGAACATTGGTATTACCAAATATTTCAGGGTCAAAATTTAGTAATGT